CTTCCATAACATTGATACCCAAGTCACACAAAAAACACAACTAAGAAAGACAACTTCAGACCAATATACCTCATGAACATTGATGCAAAATATACTCAATAAAATACTGGCAAATCGAAACCAAGAACACATCAGAAAACTCATCCACCATGATCAAAGGCTTCATCCCAGGCATGCAGGGTTGATTCAACATATGAAAATCCATCAATGCAAACCACCATATAAACAAGCTGAGAAACAAAAATCACATGATCATCTCACTAGATGCTGAAAAAGCCTTTGACAAAATCCAACACCCGTTCATGAGAGAAATCTGGGATAACAGAAACATACATAACCATAATAAAAGCTAATACAGCAAACCAACAGACAACATCAAACAGAATGGAGAGAAACTCAAGGCAATTCCTCTAAGATCAGGAACAAGACAAGGCTGTCCCCTCTCACCATACCTCTTCAATATTGTACTCGAAGTTCTAGCTAGAGCAATAAGACAACAAAAGGAGATCAAGGGTATACAAATTGGAAAGGAAGAGGTCAAACTTTTACTATTTGCAGATGATATGATAGTTTACATAAGTGACCCAAAAAACTCTACCAGGGAACTCTTACAGCTGATAACCTTCAGCAGAGTGGCAGGATACAACTCAAGAAAATCAGTAGCCCTATTATATACAGACGATAAAAGGGCTGAGAAAGAAATCAGAGAAACATTACCCTTTACAATTGCCACAAACAACATAAATACCCTGGGGTAATGCTAACCAAACAAGTGAAAGGCCTGTATCACAAGAAATTAAAGAAGATACCAGAAAATGGAAAGATCTCCCATGCTCTTGGATAGGTAGGATCAATGTAGTAAAAATGGCAATCTTGCCAAAAGTAATCTACAGACTCAATGCAATCCCTATCAAACTTCCAGTACAATTCTTCACAAACATTGAAAGATCAATTCTCAACATTATATGGCCCTGGTCCAGATGAAATAACAGACTCTGGAGATCCCCCATGGAGGGCCTCACCCTCCCTGGGTGAGGTAATGGTGGAGATCTAGGGGATCTGATGGAGGGGCAAGGGAGGAGGAGTGGGAGAGGGAGCTGGGATTGACACGTGAAGCAAGCATGTTTCTAATTTAAATAAAAAATATAATGGAAAAAAACGAAGAGATTAGGACACTGTAATCTCCCAACACTGGTGCTTGTGTGTGTGTGCGCGCGCGCGTGCGCCCATGCGTGCATGAGCACCCGTGCACACACGCATATATATGGTGTATGTGTTTGTACATGAAGGTGTTTACATGCCATGGAGCATATGGGGAGGTCAGAGGAAAGCCTGGGGTATCAGACCTCATCTTATGCTTTGTTTGAAGCCCCCCTTATTGCTTGAAACTAAGATGCACGCTCTGAGCTCACCAGTCATGAGCTTCCAGAACGATCCCCTTGATTCCAATGCCCATATTTCTTTTTTTGTTGTTGTTTTGTTGACAGGGTTTCTCTGTAGCTTTGGAGGCTGGCCTTGAACTCAGAGATCCTCCTCTGCCTCCTTAGTGCTGGGATCAAAAGAATGTGCCACAACAACCCAGTTCAATTTGCATATTTCTGTAGGAGTGCTTGGATTACGTGCATGTGCCTCTACATCTGAATTTGTGTGTGTGTGTGTGTGTGTGTGTGTGTGTGTGTGTGTGTGTGTGTGTGTGTGTGTGTGTGTATCCAAACTCAGATTCTCAGTGTTGTGCTAATTGCCTGCTGAGTCATCTCACTAGACAGCATTGTGGTAATATGACTAAATTTGATTATTGTTTTCATGCCATCTTAGTCACTTTGCAAAAATAGCTGAGGCCTTTGCACAGTGCTGCAAGTCTGCATGTTCTCTCTGTGTCGTCAACAGACTCTGCAGGCTGTGGAGCTGTCCATGGTTTGCCTTGGGACGCCAGAGCCGTCAGGCTTCGCCTGGCCCTACACATGGAATGCTATGAAAACTTCCAATCTCTGGTGGGAATTTTGTTCTGAGGAGTTAAACTTAAAATACTGAAGCATGGCTGCCACAGCGGGAATCCTGACCAATTATAAGAGGTGCCAGCCGTGCTGGAGAGATGGCTCAGCGGCTAAGAACACTGGCTAGTCTATAATGAGATCTTGTGCTCTCTTCTGGCCTGTAGGGATACATGCTTACAGAACACTGTATACATAATAAATAACAATTAAATAAAGCTATGGGATGCCCACCAGACCAGTGTCAGCCTGGAATCCGGGGCTGTATGCTTCACCCCCATAGCCTTGAATCTCCAATCCCCAGCTCTAGAGAATCAACTGGAGTTCTCCAGTTATGGCAGAAAAACACCTCGCTCTTCACCACCACCACCCCATCATCATCTTTAGGGTCATTGCTGGTTGTTATGCTGGTTTCCACACACAGTTCTAGATACAGAGACGGGTTCATTCCACTGAAACTGCCATAGCCTAGGATAAAACGATAAAATGCCCGGGCAAAAGGTAAGTGAAAGAAGGGATTTAGGTTAGTTCACATTTTCAGCATACACTCCCATATTCCAGGGAGGTCAAGGCAGCAGGAACTTTAAGCAGTTAGTCACATCACGTGTACCATTAACAGCAGAGAAAAATAAATGCACGTGTGCTTGTTAGTGCTAAGCTCAATTTCTACACTCATACAATCCAGGACCCCTGCCTAGGGAATAGCGCTGTGTCTTCATACATCAATCGACTTAATCATCAAGACACTCCCCTACTGATAAGCACACAGGACAACCTGATCTAGACACTGTATCCTTCACTGAGACTTTGTTTCCAAGGTGATTCAACACTGTGTCAAATTGAGGATTAAAGGCAACTATCAAAGTGAGCATGAGGGAAAGAATACAAATAGGGAAAAACAAGAATATAGAGAAGTCGCAGCATAGGTCAGAGTTTAACTGTGTACAGTGTACTAATGCACGTTGGGGGTTCCAGCCTTTGGCCCAGTGGGTGATTATAGTGTCACTGAGAATGTAACCCACAGAAGTAAATGGGGCATAGACACACTTGTCCTAGAAACTTCAGCAAATGAAAACTTCCTAACTTCATGGGTGGCCTCCCTAAGATGTATTAAGTCAGTAACAAATAAGGGGGCACCTGGATTTGAACCAGGGACCTCTTGATCTGCAGTCAAATGCTCTACCCCTGAGCTATACCCCCCACTGGTCTTAGTGTACCCAGTTAATAAGTTTCACCTGAGTGGTGATGTGTTCTGACTATAAAGTTAAATTACAGGTGCTCTCAGACCTACCTACCAGAAGCGGCCAGACCTGACTGGTCAGATGCCTTCCTCAGCTCTGCAGCATTCCGGGTCCATCTTTTTTTTTTTCTTTATTCTTATCTTCCCTCCTTCCACTTTTCCTAGTTCTTCCTCTCCCACTTCCCCTCTCCTCCAGGCCCACTGAACAAACCTCTGTTTCCTTTCAGAAAAGAGCAGGGCTCCCAGGGATATCAACTGAATACAGCATAACAAGATGCAGTAAGACTAGGCACAAACCCACACATCAAGGCTGAATGAGGCAATCCGGGAGGAGGAAAAGGGTTCCAAGAGCAGTGGAAAGAGTTAGAGACAACCCCCCACTCCCACTATTAGGAGTCCCACAAAACCCCCAAGCTAAACAACCACAGCATATATGCAGAGGACAGGCTCTGTGGTTATCATTCCAATTTCTGTGAGCCCCTTTGACGCCTGCTTAGTTGATTCTGTGGAACTTGTTTTACTGATGTCCTCAACCCTTCTGACTCCTGCAATCTTTCCTCCCCCTCTTCCTTGGAGTTCCCTGATCTCCACCTAGTGTTTGGCTCTTCCTGGACCATTCTTTTTTTTTTACTTTTTATTGATTCTGTGTGGATTTCACATCATGCATCCGACTCCCACTCATCTCCCCATCCATTCACCTCCACCCTCTGCCCTTGAGACCTCCCCTGCCAAAGAAAAACAAGATTTAAAAGTACAGCCAATGAAAAAGAAAAAGAAGATGAAAAAAAATCCCAGCATAGTATGGAAGCTGTATTGTGGTCCAGTGGGCCACACAGTATAGTCCTTAGTCCATACATCTTTTCTTGTGTTTATTGCAATGGATCATTGGTCTGACTTCAGGACCTCTGGCTTCTGCTACAACTCCTCCTGGATATCCTGTTGTGGTCCTGTGTCATGGAGTTCCCGTAACTTTGGAGCTGCAAATCCGACCCCTTCACCACATACTCCAGCAGTTTACGGATGGGATGGATGTTGAGGTGGGTCAACTCATAACTCTGGTTCTGGGCCAGGGTGGTAGATGGGTTGGTCAGTGCATCAGCTTTCTCTCATCCTCACCACCAGGGCAAGCTCTCCAACACTGCCCCCGGCTAGTTCGCCCAATGCAACAGGCAGCAAGGAACAGAGCTGGTTCTCCTGCCTCATGCCCTTGGGTCTGGCTCGCCCAATACTCACACCACCAGGGCCAGGTCTACTGTTTTGCTGAGGTGAGTGGTATAGCCCACTCTCCCAGTTGCTACAGTTGGTGAGGGACAGGGCCAGCTCTTCTGATCTCATGCGCTTGAAGACAGCTCTTCGGCCTGTGGAAGTTGGCAAGGCATATTTCCCTCACCCATGATACCACACGGCATATAAGGGGGGAATAGGTCGGTTCTCCTACTCCCACACTCTTTGGGCCGGCTTACCTGCACACCCAGCCAATAGGGTCAACTCTACTGTGCTGCCCGGGTGAGGTATGTAGGAGGGTCTGCTATTCTGAGTGCTTCAGCCAGGGAAGGTCCGTGTCAGTTCTCCTACTCTTGTGACTCCAGGACCAGCTTTTCCTGCCTGCTGTAGGCAGTGAGGGACCAGGTTGTGAGGGTGGTAGCTCTGTGAGTTCGAGACCAACCTTCTCTACCAGAGCTAGTTCCAGGACAGCCTCCAAAACCACAGAGAAACCTTCTGCCTCGAACCCACACCCCCTCTAAAAAATGAACCAGATCAAAAGTGGGTCTTCTCACTTCACATGATTTATTTAAGAGGAAAAAAAAACCCTCGGGGCTAGAGAGATGACTCAAAGGTTCAATTCCCTGTCAACTCACAACTATCTGTAATTCCAGTTCCAAAGAATCTGATACTCTCACACAGACATACATTTAGGCAAAACACTAATCGATGCTCAATAAATAAAAATAAAATTAAAAGAAAAGAAAAACCCTTACAGGTATACACAACGGCTTGGGTTTTAGTTCATTCCAGATGTAGTTAAGTTGGTGGACAGGAATAGCTATTACAGTGTTCCTGTCCTTCCCTCCATGGATCCTCTCCAGGACTCCCATTCAGTGCTCCAGCCTACCTCTAACCTACAGGCCCTTCCCACATCACCCCAGCCTCTCTGCCCAGACAGATACTGCACATCCTGTGCTGGGGTCTAGCTGAGTTAGTCATTTTGATCTTCCCTTACACACGCCCTCCCCAATCTCCTAATCTACCTCCAAACTCCAGGCTTGGACCAAAACTACACACCACCACCCCTCTGTGTCTACCTGACTTCATTCCATCTAAGCTATCATTCTCCTTTAAGGCCAACCTGGCTCGCACATCCTGGATCTGCCCCAGCTTGCTCTGTCCATATCAGACACAGAACTAACAAAAGAAGTCCACCTGCCCAGATCTCATCCCAAAATATAAACAACATAAAAATTCAAGGCGGCAGTGCCCCACCCCCTACAAGAATACCCACCAGGCCTATAGAAATGTTCACCAAAGAGAAATGTTCAGGACAAAAGATTTAAAAGTACAATCACAAACTGTGCATCAGCAAGAAGGCCCTCACCAGAGGCAGCCCCTCTACACACTTCCCAGCCTCTGTCTAGATCTGTGAGGTGCACACTTTCTGTGTATTGAGAATTCCCCATGGCAGAGCCCAACACCACAGCACCACCAAAGGGACGTAGGCCCCAGCCTCGCCTCATTCCCGAATCAAATATCACATCAGCTCAGCATTTTTTTTTTTTTTTGGTTTTTCGAGACAGGGTTTCTCTGTGGCTTTGGAGGCTGTCCTGGAACTCGCTCTGTAGACCAGGCTGGCCTCGAACTCACAGAGATCCGCCTGCCTCTGCCTCCCGAGTGCTGGGATTAAAGGCGTGCGCCACCAACGCCCGGCTTTCAGCATTTCTTCTTGAATGCTTAATGAGCGTCTCAAATTTAGCGTTTCCCAAGCCACACTGATCCTCTTCCTGAGCCTTCTCCTTGAGTCTTTCCCCTTCTTACCAAGCAATCACTCTAGCCTTCTAGTTTTCCGGTTGTCTAAATGAAAATGGGGAGTCCGTGTACATCCTAACCAGTGCATGGCTCCCTTGGTGAACGCTAGGTACTTCACACGTACAGACTTTGAGGAGACTGGCCCCGCCCACTTTCCACCAGCCATTGAATGAAGAAGTTTCACTTTATCTGACGCAGGTGTGTCTCAGTAGAAGTTTCTCCTCCTCTTCCTTTGCCTGTGGACGTGACACTTCCACACATGAAGACCAGACAGGCCGGAGAGACAGAAGTCCACATGGAAGAAAACAGTTCGAAACTGCGTAGCAGGACCCAGACCTGAAGAACATCCTTTCTTCCGTGCAGACTTTATTATATCCCAGTACCTGGTAGGGTTAGAAAGGTGGGATTCCAAACACCAAGGTTATATACAAAAGCAGTAGATAAAAAGTATGACTGGATTTGAACCCACAAACATCTTGCTCTTCAGTCAAATGCCCTAACCTTGTACTATGTCCCCCTGTGGAGAAACGGCACTTAGGTAATAATTTTCTTTTGTGTGGTAACACTGAGACCTGCGAGGTTAAAACCCATGGCCCCTTCAGGCCGGCTTTCTAGAAGCTGCTAGGCATGACTAGCAAGGTGGTGTCCCTCAGCTCTACAGCCTCCAAGTCCTGTCCTGGAATGGGGACTTCAGCCTACAGACCTGAGTCTGTTTCACACTGCTGTCCTGGGTTAGCTCCTGAGCTGGCCATCTGTCTCCCCTCCTATGAAGACAGAACGGGATGTCATGCGGATGTCTTTGGTGCCTTAGTTGGCCTTTGCACCAACAACTCTTCAGAATCCTGTTATGTCCTGGTAGACCAGCTGAGCCAGGCTTCTGGCCTCTGAGGTTTAAGGAAAATCACAGTGGCACTAGCGTAAAAGAAAATAATACAAGGTTCATCACCCTAAACAGTAAACCTGAGTTCTCTGATTGTCTCCCCGAGTCTGACCACCAATGTGCAAACTACTGTACATGGCAAGAAGAGAATAAAAAGACTTTAGGGTTAGCCAGTTACCACCGGCTCCTCGGAAATTGGTTCTGGGTATAGCTGTCTTTTCTGACCTAGAGAACTGTCCATCACAACCCCTACCTACTCTCTGAGAGTCCAATAGACTCAGAAATTACAAATATACAAAGAGATGAGCTAGATGCTAATAATAAGAGGGACATTCAAACCACAGAAAGAAATATGCCGTTATCCATCTATAAGACGTGTTCAAGGGTTGGCCTGTAGCTTCCATATCTACCAAAGACCATAATGACAATTAAACAAAAGAAAAGTAAACTTAATATAATCAGCAACTCACATGAGTAAGAAGAGAAATAGTAATTAAACAAAAACCCCAAACAAAACAGCGAGCAGGGAACTGCTGGCCTAAAGCCAGGAAACCCAGGGAGCTATGGGTCTTGAACCGGGGAAACTCAACTGCCAAAGCCAAATGCTATACCGCTGAGCTACTTCCCACTGCTCTGCCTTGAGGGTCTACTAACCACCTTTTATAGTCACAGACTTACACAAAGCTAGGAGAGTAAGACTAGTGCAGAATTCTTCCAAACTCAACCCAAAAAAGGATCCTTTTCCGATTGGCAGTGTCCCCATCTCTACCCTGTTCACATGTCTTCACATCCCTCCTTCGGCTTGTGGGAGCAGCAGACACACGCTACATGTTTAATACCACAGGGGCTCTAGAAATTCCTCAAAAAAGCCTCGGTGGGACGGTACTGCACCTAACTTCTTTGAGACACCTGTAGTATGTAAAGGGAAGCCTTCCCGCCAGCCTGGTTCCAGAGCCGCATCAGTCCCAAATAAACACACAGGAGGCTATATTAATTATGAAGCTGTTGGCCTTGCTTGTTTCTTACTGGCTAGCTCTGACTTAAGTATTTATCCCATAATTGTTAATCTAAGTATTTCTCTTACTGGAGAGGTTTCCGGGCTTCCTACCCATGGCGTTACATCTTGACTCTCTGTGTTTCTCCTTCCCAGAGTCCTCCTGGACTTCTAGTCCCACCTGTCTTGGTTCCCCCATCAGTAGTAGCTACATCTGAGAGCATCCCTCCAAACCTGGGGGTCCGTGCCTTCCCTGGTCCTGATTGGACAATGAAGGAGTTCTGAGAACCACCATGAAGATAACATAGAGCAAGGACCACAAAGCGCCTCTATGGAGACAGCTCCACTGTGACCGTTACTCCCCGCTATGCGAATGGGCTCACGGTACTTACATCAAAATAGCTTTCACGGTTATTTCCCCAGGGTAAACATTGCTCTTAAAGTTTATCATTAAAAAAAAAAAACTCTCGATTCTCTGTGTATCTCTCCTGTCACCTGGAGACAGCCAGTTTTCATTGCGTGGCCTGTTTCCTCTAGACTTTGAGCCTTATGGAAGGAAACAGATAAAATCAGTACGATGTGCTTTGTGCAAATCATCGGGCTCAGAAATCACTAACACTTCTGTAGAAGAGAGTGTTAGTTCATATACTCCTATCTACTCTCACTTTTCAGAGGTGTTTATTTACATCTCAACTTTAAGTCGAATTTTGTCTTTATTACTGTTAGTTAAGAGTCCTCATAGCTCACCCACACCGTGTTAAGGAGAACTAAGAAGTCTGGGAGGGCTTTATTTTCCCTGGATTTAGTGATAGCCTCATGCTCTAGTAGCTTTGTCAACTTGACACAACCTAGAGTCTGAGAGGAAGCTTCGGTTGTGGGTTGCCTGTATCAGGTTGGCCTCGTTTTATCTTTCTGTGATTGTCACTAGGCTTTTTTTTAAAAAACTCGTCTTCCATAATATAATGTTGTGAATCCTCTCGATTGCTAGTTGACATTGGAAGGGTGATACTGTTTCCTAGGCAGGTGGTCCTGGCTTGGATAAGAAAGGAAGCTAAGCGCATGAGTCTGCAAGCAGTGTTCCTCCCTAGTTTCTGCTTCAACTCAAGTTCCTGCTTGAGTTCTTGCCACCGTCCGCTCAGTGAGCCCTGAAACCCTTCCCTCCCCCTCCCCTAAGCTGTTTTCATGGCAGCAGAGCAATAGCTTGGATGCCTCATGTTTACAGCTGCCTTGTCTCCTTTAGGTAGGTATCCAGGGCCTTCCTGTGAGGTCTCTAAGACGAAAGGCCCTTCAGAAAAATGTTCCACACAGGAAGGCATCAGATCACGAAATCCTTCCGCTTTGTTTCCCAGCAGCGAACAGGCTCCTGCTCACTTCCTACTGGTTACGCCAAACAGTTCACCGTGCAGCTGAGGCCCCGTGACATCTTCCCCTTCACCAAGACAGTTTTTCTTCCATCTCTCTCGTGTGTGGGGAAGCTCCCCTTTCCTACATTTCTAATGCTGAATTTTAAAAGAAGAAAAAAAATTCTTCGCCTTGGCAGGTGACTTCCTCCAACTGCTTCCTGGAGAGGTGAATGGGGGGACACTGCTCAAGGCTTTCTCTGTCGGATGTGCCACCGTCCTGTCTATATATACTTGGTTTGCAGTCTGGATAGCACTGATCCCGGTACAAAGGAGAGTCCTTCCTATTGTGAGGTCTTCTAGTGCGAGTCTGGTATCGCTGTTGAAAAGTTTAAGTCCTGTGCGTGCGTGCGTGCGTGCGTGCGTGCGTGTGTGTTGTCTCCCTGGATTCTTACAAGTGAAAGAGGTTTCAGATTGATAGCCCCGAGTGGTGAATCTACTTAACATGTAGGAGCTAAATTTGCCACTCTGGGAGATCATCTGGTGTCCCTGTGTTGTGGGAGAATGAGGAGAAGGGAGGAAGGCTGCCATTGGAAATGCTAAGCTTCTCTGGCCCCAGCTCAGACCTAACAAATCAAAGAGTCTGAGATGGGACCAGAGTCTGAGCTTCCCCCATCACCACAGTCTCGGGTCATTCTTAACTTGGCACATACTCAGCAACCTTTAATGGACACTTCCATATTACATTTCTGAAAGAAAAGACTAGAACGAGACGGTCTGTGTGCATCCCCAAAATGCTTAGTAACATGATCATGTTCTAGAACCACATATAGTTCTAGAGCTTTCCATTGCCCCAGTTTAGGGAATTGGACTAGACTCTTTTCCCATCGAATCTAGTCTGTGTATCTCTGCTTCATCTTTTCCGTCACTCTCCGTTACTACCCCTCAACCTGGCTGTATGTATAATAGGGCACTATCCTCAGGGGAGGACCTAGGTTTGAACCAGGGACCTCTTGATCTGCAGTCAAATGCTCTATTCTTAAGCTATGTCCCCAATGCCTGACAAATACCTTTTCAGTTGCAGTGCAATATCCATCTCTAAGGGACTAGTATGTGCAGATGAGTGGATGTGTGTTGTTCACTTGAGTGCCGAGAAAGCCCATGGGTGAAGTGCACTGTGTACTGTGTCGTTTCCAAAGTACAGCGCAGATATAAGCTTACCCACTATCCACTCTCTGATGGAGTGAAAGGCAAGTCATGTAATCTCTGGCATGCACAGCTGTAGGGTATTCCAAATGTGAATAATTTACACAGTTGCTTAAAGAAAAAAATCAAAAGTCAAAAAAAATGTTGAAGAACAAAAACACATCCTCTTTGCAAAAACAAGACATGTTATGTTTTAAGCAAACAAACAAACAAACAAAAAACTCGTGGAAGACAGAGTCCAAGTCACTTCAACTTGAAAATAGATACTACAATTAATTGACCTCAGAAGAGAAATGAATATAACAAAACTCATAAAGCTTTTTTTTTTTTTTGAGACAGGGTTTCTCTGTGACTTTGGAGGCTTTCCTGGAACTAGCTCTTGTAGACTGGGTTGGTCTCGAACCGAGCGCTGGGATTAAAGGCATGTGCCACTGATAAAGCTTTTAACTTACTTATTTTTATATAATATGTGTGTTTTGCCTACATGTATGCTCAGTTCGCCAGAAGCCAGAATAGAGCATGGTATCCTCTGGAACTGGAGTTACAGTTGTTACCCATGATGGGAACCAAACCCGGGGCCTCTTAACTACAGAGCTGTCTCCCCCAACCGATTTTCAAAGTTCCTGTGACTATAATACTATATTAAATGCCGAAAATATTTTTTAAATGCAGTCTAAATTTCCCTCCTTGGGTTAGAGTAAATTATCCAATTCCTATTTAATATATTCCCTCTCCTCCTCCTCCTCCCCCTCCTCCTCCCCCTCCTCCTCCGCCCCCTCCTCCTCCCCCTCCTCCTCCCTCTGTGTGGTATATGCACATGTCAGGAGGCAAGTGTCTTCCTCCATCACTGCTCCAGCTCCTTCGGAGAGGCCAGTGCCCCTCTGCCCCACCCCTGGCGTTCTGACTACTGACCTCATGCTTGAGAGCAGGGATTTTACCGACTGAGCCATCTCCCAGCCCCCC